CATTTATTGTTACCAAATGGTAAAGGGAGATGGGAGGGATTAATTAGGAGCTTGGGATTAACAGATACACACTACTTTATATAGAATAAACACCAAAGTCCCAATGTATAGCACAGGGAACTATATTCAGTATCTTATAATAACCTGTAATAAAAAAGAATCTGAATCAGATATATAAATAACTGAATCACTTTGCTGTACATCAGAAACTAGCACAGCATTGTAAATCAAATATACTTCTCAATAAATAAATGGAAAGAAAGGAAGGAAGGAGAGAAAGAAAGAAAAAGAGGGAAAAAAAGAAAAAGAAAATGCTTAGGGACAGGCTTCTAAGAGCCCCAAGCATTCCACACTATCTCAAAACTCCTTCCAACTTCAATTTTGAAATCAGAAGGTGCAGGAAAAAAAGGTACTTTGGAGGGCAGGAGGGTAGTTTATGATGTTTCTCTTTTGATGGATTTCCTGCTCTCTGGTACAGCAACTGAGAGAGACTGCAAGGTTGCGGGGAACATAAAGCGAAGGAGAGCAGTGGCATTTCCTGAATTCTACACAGGTCCTGCAGCTTTGATACATGACTGCCCTGCACAAGGCCATCAATTCTCTGTGCAGCACCACACAGAGTGGAATATGTAATTTGTATGATTATAGTTACCATTATTACATCAAGCTGAACAACATTTTCAGCTCTGTGAACTAGAGGGGAGGGTGTTGGATTCAGACTGACAAAGAAAGAGTGCAAAGAAAGAAGAGAGAGTTTTAGAAATTCCTTTTATTCTCTTTTCTGCTGGTTTCCTATTCTTGACAACAGAGTGCATACCTGGGCTGTAATCTGATAGATTCTGATTATGGCAAGTGGGCCAAGTAATCCACATTTTATAAGTACTCCCAGGTGATGCTTAGGAAATATTTAAATGATGCAAGACTGAATACATTATGAGATTTAATCCCTCAAAATCATCTATCTCTTTACTCTAAGCCTGATGTATATTGGTTAAACCATTGGATTTTGTTAGATTATTGGATACAAGTTCCTTGAGTGACAGGACTATTTGGTTCTCCTGCCCCTAGAAAAGTGCTCAACATGAAGGAGGCATCAATCAATAAGTACAGATTTATTGCATGGGGCTATGCATACTCTGAGTCAACGTTATTGCTATACTTTTGTTGCTCTTGGACATTAGCTTCTCTATGTGGCATCAATTTTGGGAGCTGGAAGTACAATATTTTCCTATAATGTCATGAGAAATGTATAAAGGAGGCTCATCGTTTGTTCCACAATCTCAGATTGCGATTTAAGAAAATGTAGTATAGATTTATTTAAGGGTGCATCTCCTAGAAGTAAAATTAGGCCCCTGCTTCTCTCTTCAGAGCATGGATCCCATTGACAGCAGCTTTATGGGCATATCTTTCTTAGTAACAAGGGCTAAATTTTGATTTTAGATATGAGTTTTAGACAGATCAAAAGAATGTGTCCTCTGTGCATTTCTGGATTTTCCTGTTCTACAAGAAGAATGAATATTATTAATAAAATGGAGGTTGCAATTAAACTTTGGAAAACAAGTCTCTGAATTGGTAAAAGTCAAGGAATGTTGTAAACATTTCAACTTTTGGATTTGAACTGAATCAGTTTAAGCTGGCTATCTTCAACATGGGACTAGGCCTTCCTAAGCTGCTGACTCTTGCATATCAGCATGTCATGTCTTTTTAAAATGTTTCTCAGTAACATTTTAAGGAGGCCTTTTGAGGACTCCATAGGGAGTATAGGAGATGTATATAATGAATGATGTCAACAAGAAGAAAAACTTACATCATTATGTCATTTGAAAACATCTACTATATAATATTTTGAAAATTCAAATGAAACAAACCTCTGAAAGCATTATAATGTTAGGTCACTTGAAAATAGATAATTTCAACTTGCTTTGCTGGATAAATGAATGGAGATGAATTAATTTCAAAGAGTGAATTTTCTTATTTAGGAAGATGAATTCAAAGGTCAAAACTGAACTGGAATATTAAAATTATGGAAATATTAGTAATATGTACTATAAGCTTAAATGAACATCCAAACAATCCATAGCATAGTCAGTTATGTAAAAGTTGAAAGCTGTGGCCACCATGCAAGATGTGATATCATGTAAATTTATTTTTCAAAATTTGTTGTATATATTATATGTATAATATATGAAGTTGTAATTGATGTATATGATTATGCTTCAAAGACAAGATGTAGGGCCTTGAGCTTCATACAAAATGACATTTTGATTGGTTCTAACATTAGGTGGAGACATTAGGGAAGATGAATAAGGTTTAGCTCCACTAATGACTATATTTGAATGTCATGCTAGAGGAAGTTCACTGACATTTCTGTTTAAATTATTTTGTTTTTGTCTTTTGCTGTTTTGTTGGTTTACCTGTTTGTTTTCTTCGTCTACTTCCTAGAAAAGTGCTGTTATTACTTCTAGTATGAGGAGACCAGGCTACTCCCAGTGAGAAAATCTGAAATGTGTGTTCTTCTTTGTGAATGATCAAACCTAACATTGTGCTAAACAGTCAATGACTCTTTGAAGGTGCTTTGCTCAGTATGTTTCTTAGCAAAAGTTGAAATTGTTTCAATCCATGGAGTAAGTTAATTTAAATTGTTTCTCAGGAAATGAAGATAGCTTCTTTTTATACAGTCTGTAACAGCACTTGTCTCTTGATGGGTGAAATTGTAGCTGCATTTTGTTTTCCTTCCTTTACATTTTTACATTTTACACACATGTGCACACTTGCACATACATATTTCCTTATAATGAATATTATACTTCCTTTTTAAAAGAAAATAACATTTAAAAAAAGGAAGAGAAATAGTCTCATTATACAGAATTAAAGGATAAAATTGCTTTTGTCAAAACAGTATTCTATCTAGATAATGCTGTGACTGTTCTTGGCAACTTTTATTGAAATAAAAGTTTATTCGTGTGTTTAAAAAATGGTTATTTAGCTCTTATCAAGTGCCAGGCACTGGTCCCAGGTGCTGGGATGTAGCAACAAATGAAGGGAAGCTCCTGATACCATGGAGCTCATATCTTTGTGGATGATAGACAGTAAATTGTGTAATATATCTGGTGATGACAAATACTACGAAAAAAATAAGAAACAGGGTGAGGGGAAGGGAGTTATGCAAAAACTGCTACTTTGTTAGGCTGGGCAGGGAGTCATGAATGTATCTGAATAAATAGGGGCATTCCAGTAGAAACCTGATTGAAGCAGGTGAGCCAAGCAAATATCTCTGGGAGGAACTTCAAAGGCAGAGTCACTAAGTGCAAGTAGCCTTGGCGTTTTCAACATCAGGGAGGCAGGGTGGATGGGGTGGACTTTGAGAAGGAAAGTAGTGCAGTACATAAATCCAACTGGTTAGTAGAAAATCAGATTGTATGGAGTTTTAAGGACCATAATGTTTTGAGTAAGATGAAAAGTTGTTGGAGGTTTTGAGCAGAGATGATGTTCTGTTTCCTAATTAACAGGATCATGCTGGCCACCGTGTGGACAATAGACAATAGCAGGAAAGAAGTGAAAGCCAAAAAGCCAGGTGGAACCAATGAACCGTTTAGGTGAGGTGTGGTCTCACTTTCCAAGTTTCTTGGGTACGGGGAAGTCCTCAGCTTTTCTGAATGTTTTGTATATCATGAGATTTCTTCTGTGGCCTAAATGGAAGTCTCATTTGGTTACTATCCAAAGAAACTATGAACAAAGCTACCAGCCTTGGCTTGAAATTATCTCCAACTTATGGCCTATAATGAAAAAAAGAATTATAAAATTTGACCAAAAATATTCTTTCAATTTTATTTCCATCATCTTGTATATAATTCTGCCCTATTGAAGAGACATTTTGAGAGGATGCATATTAGCATTTAAATGATTTACCTTAAAGTCTGTTATACCTTTTCAGGTCTAAAACTGATTTTTATTCCTATGAATAAAATGGGGGAGAAGAGAACAAAAGGTCTTAGATTATGAATTTGGAATTGTTGAATCTTCTCTCTGTTGGAGGCGATGTTACTCATATACAAGGGTCAAGGGAGTCCAGAAAACTAATGCAGAAATAAGGGCTTAACTCTAAGGAAAATTTACATCTAATTTTGAATCTCTCATTGGCAGCATTAAAAAAGAGAAATGAAAACAAAGAGTAGAAAAGGGGAGATTGGATAGCAGAGTACATTGTTTACTTGCCTTTGCCTCCTGGATTTTCATTCTTTTCTTTTATCTCCACAGCCCTGAGGAGTTACTGGCACCCATTTCATTTGTCTTTCTCCAGGTTTAAAATTGAGGTGATGAGATGGAGTATTACCTGTGTGCTTCAGAACATCCACAAGTGACATGTGATAGTTGCCTGGGAAACTAAGATGAAATTCTACAGGCCTTTTGAAATGCTTTACATTTGAGAATAAAGCTCAGCTGAAGTTTAAGCAGCATACTGACAGTGAGTATTGATCTCTCATATTATCTGTTAGAATATTTGAGCCGTAGATAACAGAAAACCCCCGACTCAGTGTTTTAACCAAGAAAGAAATGTCTTATCTAATATATCTAGAAGTCCAGAGGTAGAATGGGCTCCAAATGTGTTGTAATGAGAAGCCTAATATAATCAAAGATCCGAGTCCTTTTCTTATTTCTCTTCTTTGTACTCAGCTACCTTCTGAGGCTGGTTGTCCTCATGGTTTCAAGATGGCTGAGCATGACAATCTGAGCACCATTAAGTTTTATTTACTGCTAGTAGGAAAGGAAAGGGGAGATTTCTCCCTTAAACCTGGAAAACATTCTTTTCTTTAATCTGATTGAGAAAAATTAATTCACATGTCCACATCTAGACTAAGGAATGCCATTATCTAATTGGCTCAAACAAATCAAAATCCCCCTTGAGGACTAGCTATATTGTTAATCTCTGAACTAAAAGGGCTTCTACTAGAAAGAAAACAAGAGGGAATTGGGAATTAGCTGTCATATATATCACACAATGGGGAGACAATGGTTAACAACAGACATTACACTGGAAAAACTTTCAAAGAATGGGGTCTGCCCCCAAGTTTTGTTATCCTGGTCCTTGTCGTTGATCGTGTGGACACGTATCTCCCTCACTCAAGATAAAAAGAGGAGAAGGAGTTCTGGTGAGTCCAGTGTTTGTCCTTTCTGCAGTATTTTGAAGCACTCCATTAAAGAAATTAGAAATAATCACTTTAAAATATAAGTGATTCTAAGGCTTCACTGAGTATCCAGGAGTCAAACTCCTCGAATATTTGTGATGTTACAATACTAGTTTATTGCTTATAGTTTCCTGTGTTCTGAATTCTTTAACATACTGGTGGTAATTTATTTCAGCATCTATATTAGATATACCTGTAGATATTGGTATTAGTAAGCAGTAAGACAGGTGTTCTGAGATATTTGCCCTTTCTTTTTGGAATCATGAAATTTTCTTTGTTAAAAAGAATTTTAGCATATTACAGGCCAACCAAGCAACAACAGATACGTGAAAAACTTGCTTTTTTGAAGTTTATTTATGAAGAATGTATTCATTTTCTGTTGCTGTATAAAAATTGCCATAAGCTTAATGACTTGAAGAAATGCAAATTTCTTATCTTAGAGATTCTGTTGGTCAGAAGTGTGGGCGTGGTGTAGCTATGTTCTCTGTTCAGAGTTTCACATGGTTATAGTCAAGCCTGCAACCAAGTGTTGGTTACACTGTCATTCTCGTCTGAGGCTCCATGTCCTCTTTCAAGCTCACTAAAGTTGTTGGCAGAATTCAGTTACTAGTAGTTGTAGGAATGGCCCCATTTTTTAACAGTGGGGACCAGGGACCACTCTTGGCTCCTAGAGGCCACTCACAGTTCCTTACTACTGTTTGCTTTTTTCTAGGCCAGCAGGAATCTCTCTCTCTGACTGAGTCTCCGACTTCCTGTGTCTCTAGGCTCAGATCAAAGGGCACATACAACTAAGTCAAGTCCACCTGATAGTCTATCTTAAATTCAGTTGATTGAGGACTGTAATTTGATGTGCAAAATCCCTTCACAGTAGCACCTAGAATTGTATACCTGGGAGAAAGTAGGAGCACACCAGGGAGCTTCCAAACATAAAGGCTGGGCTGGCGGTGAAGCTATTCCATCTCTCAGTGGAAGATCCAAATACTATTTGTTCAGGTCGCATGTGTTTGATATTAAATACTTCAAAAAACTCTCTCTCCCTACCTTTCTCTCCTCTCCTCTCCCTCTAGCTAGATACAAGTCAGTTGAATTTCTTCCTTGCAGGATATATAGAATAGATAGATATATATAGAATCATCTTTATAGGTTGGAAGGGCAGGATGAGAAGGAAGAGAAAGATAATAAAAGAATATCACTATGTCTGAAGAAAATGAGGAAAAGTGTAATGAGAAGATGTGAGAAGAAGCAAAAACAAAATTGAAAGCAAGCATCTATGAGAGAGTAGAAAGTTGATGTCAGGTTTCTATGGGTTTGAGATAAAGTTAGAACAAAAGAAAGCATTATAGGAGAATGAAAGGATGGAAAAAGCAAGGTAGAAATATCAGAGTTGAAAGTAACAATAATGATGGCATTTGTGGCCACGGATTTGCTTTGAACAAGGCACTGCTTCTTTTTCCTAAATAATTTCCTGTGGTGATGGCCCCACATATTTGCATATATATCTTGATCTTATTAACAGTATTTCTCAACCCTCACTTTGTTATGGTCTGGCTGCTGCTTTGAGAAGCCAGACAAACCAGGTAATATTATACTTAATGAACACGTATGAAGGCCAAAAACATAGCTACAAATAAAAGAAATTTAAAATAGTCCAGGGTAGTCTTTTAGTCCACTTGCAACAAACTGGACAAGAAAATGAGAATTTTTTCTTTTCTCCTTTCTCTTTCTCAATATATAACAAGGATGAATATAATTTGAAAACAACTTCATAAATCCATTTTCCCCAGAGCACCATAAAGAAATATTCCATATGGATACCAACTGGTTCTTAGTTACTAAATCAGAAGTGATCAAAGTTAATGACAGACAGTTGGCTGAACTGAGGCTTTCAGTAGCAAATTTGTGTGTGTATCTATGTGCATGTGTGTAAAATCCAGTACAGATGTATTCCAAATGCTATCCTTTAAGCAGGCCAAATGCATCTTTTTTTAAAATAAATTATGAACTATTGCAGAATTATTTTCATTTTAAGAAGAAGGAATGTGTCATATCACAAAAGTAGGCGACTTCATTTTGACTTCTGATTTTTTTGATGCCCCTGAACCTTTTAGGTTTTTAGCTCCATTAAAGAAGGGCCTTGGCAGAGGTTGAAGGTTCCTCTGATACCAGTAGTCAATAGCAAATGAGATGAGCATGTGTGCCGGGCTGCTTCTAATGTCCTCTGTGAAGATTCACATTTCTCTTTGACTGGACACTGCTGACCATGAGGTTATGCAGTTGACTCATGTCCATTTTCTTGCAGGGATTTGTGACAGTGCTACAAAGAAGGGAGATGAATTGAGAAGAAACATCCCTCTTTCTCTCTGCCAAGAAGCTTTAGAGCATAGCAGAGGGGTGATTCAGAATCCGACATTCTTGTGACTGATGCCCATTCTACTTAGATGACGCCTTGTTGGGACGTTGTAAGACATCTCCCACCAGAATGAATAGGAGTTTTTCTGAGAATAGAGGCAGATATATATTTGCAGGATTGTTGATAACAGCTGCCAAAGACAGGAAAGATGCTGAGATTAATAGCCTAAAAGGAAAGATAAAATTTAGACTAGTATTTTTAAAAATTAATTTATTAACTAAGTCACCAACATTGACCTCAGGCAGATACACCTACTTTTCCTTGCTTTCTAGTTCTGAATCCTGGTATATGAGTTACCAACCATGGATTAACAGGCATCATTTCTCTCATGAAGTACTCAGATTAAAAAAAAAAAGGCCTGTGTTCCATTCCTCATGGTGTTCAGGTTTAAGTGTTTGTTACTAAAGTACCAGAAAGCAATGACACTTTATAGCTTTTGGAATACATACGGCTTTTCAAAATGTAGTTCATGAATGCTGCCAATTTCTGAAGTAGGTTATGATATTTTTCATCACAGGGTATCAGTAGTCCTATGATTTTGTTTGGTTCAGGAAAACTGGCCATATTATTTTGCAAATTATGACTACAAAATACTGAAAGTAATCTTGTCAAGAGAATGTGTTCCTTCTGTTACTTGAATTTTGTCTTGGTTGGGTCTCAACTCTAATGAAGACTGGCATGAATGATTCTGGTTTGAAAAGGTCACAGTTATACCAAAGTCTATATAAATATTTCCCTCTCATTATGTCTCTGTTACACAGCTGTGATTGAATTTTCCTGGGAAAATGTAGTAGGAGGGCTGAGATCAGTGACCAGTTTATTGACAGTAGTTCTTAATATATATATTGCCCTTGGGGAAAGGAAGTGATTTAATGCATAATAGTATTCACTAATGCATAAGTAGAACCAAAATTAGGTATTACTAAATTGTTAATAAATCAGAATTTCACTTAAGAGTGAATTTTACTTTAAATATAAAATAATAACCATACATCATTATGCATCCTTATTCTAAAATGTGTGAATGTAACTGACTTGATCATGTTCCTAGAGAAAATCCTTATGAGTGACATTTTTGTTGCTATATCTTCGTCTGACAAGCCAAGTTGCTAAGTCCATATTAATGGGTTAAACTGATTGTTTTAATTACATCTGGAATGCAAGAGTAAATGAAGAATTTATTAAATTAATTGGGTTATTTTATTCAAATGCTTCCATGGTGATTGTCATGATACCTAAGTAATCAGACTCAATCTAAATAAATTAATTCAATAAAATATTAGCCTAATTTGTGCCTTAATGGAATCATTTCATTAATACTGTCAGGAATGAGCAGAAAAGTTTCCAGGCATTTTAAAGAGCACGAGCAAGGGAAATGTGATCAGTACATTATGGCTGGCAATGGAAATTATCAAGTTAAGGAAATTTTGTGACTGATAAGAAAAGGGGTGATGGTATTACCCCCTAATTTACTGAGAAATGGAGAAATGTAAGGCTCCCCACATGCAAATACTCATCTCCCATCTTTTTCATTCCTAAAATCACTCCACAGCTTCTCCCTCTCTTTTCTACTTTGCAGCCTTTGAGAAGGGATAATCTTTTTTAACCAAGGCTGGTCCTTCTGCTTGTGTTCTAATCCTACCCATTGTTCTGTCTTCCCTAGGACTTTGGTTTATCAATTATGGCCGTTTAAATTATCTATCAATTTGCACATATTTGTTTAAATTTTCATTTCCAACTATTTTCTTTCCCTCCGTCTGAAAAGGTGCTTGGGATGAGCAACAAACAACTCCCTGAGAAAAATAAACAAAAATACAAACTTCTCCAAATGTTGCTGCCCCAAAACTACTTACTGTTTCATCACTTTCTTTCCATTTTCTTTCAGTAATCTTAGAAAAGGAATGTATTGTCATGGCCTTATCAT